TTTCCAGAATATCATACAGTTGGAATTATACAGCATGTAGCTTTTCAGATTAGCTTCTTTCATTTAGGAATACAAGCTTAAGGTTCCTCCATGTCTTTTTATCAGCAGAGTCATATTTCATTGTCTGGATGTGCCACAGTTTGCTTATCCATGCACCTAGTGAAGGACATCTTGGTTGTTTTCAAGTCTTGTTCAGTTATGAATAAAACTTCTATAAACATTTGTGTGCAGGTTTTTTTGTGTGTAGACATAAGTTTTCAACTCATTTGCACAACCAAGGAGCACAATTGCTGGATCATATGGTAACCATATGTTTAGTTTTGTAAAAAACTGCCAGACTGTCTTCCAAAGTAGCTATGCCATTTTGCATTTCCACCAGCAATGAAGTTCCTGGTGTTGTACATCTTTGCCACATAAGCCACACATACAAACTCAAGATGTTGGTAAAATGAGATAAAAGAAAGGTTTACTCAGTTAAAAAAAAATCATCTTAATAATTACTTAAAAAGAAAAACCTTCCAAAAACAAAATGGACTGTTTAAAAGTGTGTGTGTGTATTTATTTATTTTTTGGTACTGTGGATTGAACCCAGGGCTGCTTTACCACTGAGCTATATCCCCAGCCCTTTTTATTTTATTTTGACAGAGGGTCTTGCTATGTTGTTCAGGTTGGCCGTGAACCTGTGATCCTCCTGCCTCGGCCCCCTGAGTGGTGGGGATTACAGGTATGTGCTACCATGCCTGCAAAAGTATATGTATTAGAATCCCAAACTCACTTCATCGGTCAACTCATCTCCTTTATTGTATGTTTGTTGTTTTCAGAAAATTAAATGATTCATTCGTGTGGGTGTGGTGGCACAAGCCTATAACCCTAGCAGCTCAGGAGGCTGAAACAGGAGGATTGAGAGTTCAAAGCCAGCCTTGGCAACAGCGAGGTGCTAAGCAACTCAATGAGGCCCTGTCACTAAATAAAATACAAAAATAGGGCTGGGGATGTGGGTCAATAGTTAATTGTCCCTGAGTTCAATCCCTGGTACCACCACCACTACCACAACAACAATAATAAAAGAAAATTAAATGATTCATCTCATGTTCTCCCCGACTTTATCTAATCCTTGAGGACTGGGTGCAATGATCTAAATAATCATTGACATTCCTGACTACTACAATGCTATGATTTCCCTACCTCTATCACTTGCTTTACCCATCTCATTCATTTAAGCCATCAATGTCTTTATGTACAAGTAATATCAAACTTCACACTGTATAGTAGTGATAAGTTAATTACATAGTTATTAAGAGATATGTGGGAGCAGTAACATAAAAAGTTATTGCATAATTACCTTGTTTCTGGAGGCATTACCATGTAATTAAAGCAAATTTGATATAATATTTTAGCAAGCAACAATATAAAATTCTTTTTCCTGCTTTTCCTTCTACACAAAAAAATTGTTCTTAGTCATTTCTTGGTCAATAGTTTTTCAATTCTTTGTTTATTTTCCATCTTTCTTTGATATCTGCCCTTTAGAGATGATTTATGTGTTCTTCTAAACTGGCCTGTTTAAAACTTACCTTCTATATCAAAAGTTACTGGATATAAACTGTTACATGGAATATGAGGTAGTTAACTTAAAGGCTTCATTTTTTTTTAAGATTGTATTTTTGTACCTATAGCTGCTTTAAGAAAGGGCATAAGATATAAATTAAAACTGAATAATTTGAATCCTTAATTTAGTACACTTACGCCAATATGACTTCTATACTTGATTTTTATATGAAATGAATTAAGTAAAAATAACAGTGACAAAGATATGAGATAATTCAAATATGGGTAATATATACTGTTTTTCTTTGAGGATTTTATGCTTTGAGAGAAAACCATGTATGCACTTTTAAAATGGCATAATAATTCAATTTGGAGATGTCAAGAAATGCTTTCTGGTGAAGGTGATATGAACTGGACCTTGAATGAGCATCATTTTGCAGAGATGGACATTGTCAGCAGAAGGAAAAACAGGTAACTGTAGACAGGACAAAGCATGTTTTAGAAAATAGTAAAAGATCAGTTATAAACTATGTGCAGGAGGAGACATGCCTGTAATCCCAGCTACTCGAGAGGCTGAGGCAGGAGGATCACAAGGTCAGCCTGGACAACTTAGTGAGACCCTGTCTCAAAATAAAATAAAAGGGCTGAGGATGTAGTTCAGTGGTAGACTGCTTGCCTAGCAAATATTAAGCCCTGGGTTAAATCTCCAGTACTGCAGGGGGAAATTAAAAAAAAAAAGTCAGTTGTATTTGTATTGAAAACATGTCTGAAGAGGCAAGATGGGGACAGAATGTCAAGGATCTTGTAGGATATTAAATGAATTTTATACTGCAACCAATGGAGAGTCAGCCAAAATCTTTGAGCAAGGGAAGCCCATGATTACATTGCTTCTGGGCAGCAAATCCTGGCACAAGTAGGGAGTATGAATTTGCTAGGAAAGAGACTGTTACCAGAGATATCCATAGGAGTCTCCTTCAATATTCTAGGAATGGTTCTTAAAGTATGCTGCTGGACTGGCAGCTTCAGCATCATCTAAGCCCCACCACAGACTTACTATGGATTCTAGTTTTGTGCTTAAACCTTGGAAAGCATTTAAGGCCAGAAAGAAGACCAGTGTAACTAGAGTATGCAGGCAAAGATAAAAGCCTCAGGAAAAATGCTGGGACAGCAGATTATATAGTTCCTTTTAGACCACTATAGAAGCTTAGATTTTCAGTCTAGTGCAATGAGAAAGCATAGCATGCTTATAAGCAGATGAATTAAATAATTTAACTTCTTTTTAATGATCATTTTGGCTACTTTGCAGAAAATGGAATGAAAGGCCAGAAAGAGTGAAAGCATAGAGATTGATTAGGAAGCCACCGCAGTAAGTACAAAATGGTCTGAGCTAAAGTCATGAACAAGAAGTGGATGTGGATACATTTAAGATACAATCTTACAACTGAATCTAAAGAACTCCCTGAAGACAGAGGGGATGGAAAGATTCAAGAATGACTCCAAGGTGTCTAGCTTGAGATGTGAAGCATCTGATGTTCCATGTATTGTGTGACAGATGGATCTTGTTGTTAGGAACATTTTCGTAACTATATATAAGGGAAGAAGGACACAGACAAGACACGCAAACATACATTTTTATACAATCCACCCATCCATTACCCTTTTAAGACAAATAACATCACATCTAGCATTGTAGAGGGGCTTAGCTGAGATTTTTGTGAATCTGAATTAACTTTTAGTACTAACTGGACCAAGGGCAAACAACTTATGGTTCTTCCAGTGTCCAACTTGTAACAATGCACAAAAGGTGAACTGAGCTAATCTAGTATTCTCTTTCAGGGACCAGAATGGAGGACAAAGACAGGCCAGTAAAGTGGCTATGAGGCTGGAAGAAGCAGACATGCAAGGCAGCTGAGGAACATGGTCAAGTGAAGCACTGGAGTAAAGATCCATGGATATCTGCTGCTCAGGTCTGCAGAACTGACTTGAATCTGGAATTACCATTTGGCTCTCCCTTCAGTGAAAACCTCCAGTTTTGGTTCTTGTTTGAGATTCACTGAGATTCTTCTTATAAAGATAACAGTGAATTCTTACTATAAATCAGACAGTAGGCTTTATAAACATGACTTCATCTAACTTTGATAAAAGCCCAAATGAGGGCTGGGGTTGTGGCTCAGCATTATAGCTCTCACCTTGCACATGTGAGGCCCTGAGTTTGATCCTCAGCACCACATAAAAATAAATAAATAAAACAAAGGTATTGTGTACAACTACAACTAAAAAATAAATACATATTTTAAAAAACCCCAAATGAGGTAGGTACTCTTTGTCTTCATTTGTATAGATGAGGAAACTAAGCTTTAGAGCTATTAAGTAGTTTGTTCACAGTCTCTGCTGTACTGCTATAACCAAGTACCTGAGACTGAATTATTTATGACAAACACATTTGTTTAATAAAATAAACAAAAAGTTCAAGATCAAGCCAGGTGCGGTGGCGCATACCTATAATCCCAGCAGCTTGGGAGCTAAGACAGGAGGATTGTGAATTAAAAGCTAGCTTTAGCAACTTAGCGAGGCCCTAAGCAACTCAGTGAGACCTTGTCTCTAAATAAAATATAAAAAAGGGCTGGGGATTTGGCTCAGTAGTTAAGCACCCCTGGGTTCAATCTCTGTTACAAAAAAAAAAAAAAAAGAAAATCAAGATAAAGGCACTGGCATTAGGTGTCTGCTGAGGGCCTTCTGTTCATATGACAGAAGGTGGAAGGGAGTGAGAAGAGAGCAAACTAGGGGCTGGGGAGGTGGCTCAAGTGGTAACGTGCTCGCGTGGTATGTGCAGGGCACTGGGTTCGATCCTCAGCACCACATAAAAATAAAATAACGATTTTGTGTCCACCTAAAAACTGAAAAATAAATATTAAAAATTTTCTATTAAAAAAAAAAGAAGAAGAAGAGAGCAAACTAGTTAAAAGTTGCATGAAGTCTCTTTTCCAAAGAGCCTTAATCCCATTAATGGGTGAGCCTAATCGCCTCTTAGTGGCATCACTTGAATATGAATTTTGGAGGGGACACAAACTATTAACATTCCTCAAATTAGTTAAGTGTGGTTCCAAGACTCAAACACATCTTTTGACCTGTTGTCTTAATTACTATACTATACTATGCTATAAAGTCTTCCATAATGCTGTGTGCTTCCTTACCAGAGAAATAAAAAAAAATTGTTGATCCAAACTAGGTGAAATAGGTTTGTTGCTTTTATCCAAACGAATCAGATGAAACAGTGCCCTGAAGCTGATGCATGGCTGCCCTACTGTATCTTGCCTCTTTCCCATGCCACAGGTCTCCTCACATAGATGTCATTCTCTAGAAAACTGAATAAATAAATCACTGTATTGTGGGGATTTTGAAATGCATATTTAAAAATAAGATGATATGTTATAATCATTAAATCCATATGCTCTGTACTCACTTCAGCAGCACATGTACTAAAATTGGAATGATACAGAGAAAATTAGCATGGCCCCTGTGCAAGGATGACACGCAAATTTGTGAAGTGTTCTATATTTAAAAAAGAAATCCATATACTTTCTCCTCTGTCTTTGAATACTTGAACATAGAAGAAAGATCTAAATACAACTGTGAAAAATAAATGTTCTCTTCTACTGTTTGAAAAAGAGCTCTAGTGGTATTCTTTTTTTTTTTTTTTTAAATAAGACTGTGAGTTTTTTTAATATTTATTTTTTAGTTATAGGTGGACATAATATCTTTATTTTATTTTATGTGGTGCTAAGGATTGAACTCAGTGCTTCATGCAGGCTAGGCAAGCGCTCTACCTTTGAGCCACAACCCTAGCCCCTCTAGTGGTATTCTTTTATGTAACAAAATTTTACAACATGCTACCTTCATGATTTAAAGACTGAACTCAGGATAGCATCTGACTTAGAACTACATGGGCAGATAAACATAGGACATAGCATTTCAAAAGTCAAAGAAAACCCTCAACATCTTTTGTTGTCTTTCTGACAGTCTGTTATCCTAGGCTTTAGAATTGGTCATCCCTCAAATATCATAATTTTTCATCAGTAATGTAGGAAGCCTAAGGCAGTGGTACAAGAAGGCATGAGAAGTTTACTATGAAGCACTGAATAATCTATTATAGAAATGGAGAGGACACATTAAATATAATAGCTAAACTTACTTTTAATATTTTTTTTATGTTCATCGTCCTGAGTGATCTTCTTCCAACTATGATGTTTTTCCAGTCATTTACATGAGGGCAGGTAGAATGTTTATATGAAGACTTTCATCAAGCTCAAGGCTAATGCATTTTCTTCAAAGGGTAAGCAACTCTTCACTTTGATTCATTTCTTGCTCAATATACACTAACTTTTATCATAAAGATGACAACTAAAAGCCAGCTAGAATACTTTAGAATCTTCTTTTTTTATATTTTCCTTTCCAATCTGTATGCATTTTACTTTTTTTTTTTTTTGGGTTAATGTTTTTTAGTTGTTGATGGACTTTATCTATCTATCTATTTATTTATTTATTTATTTTGCTGAGGATGGAACCCACTGTCTCACACACGTTAGGAAAGAGCTATATCCCTGAGCTACAACCCCAATCTCCTTCTTCTTTTCTTTTTTTTTAGTTGTAGTTGGACACAATACCTTTATTTATTTATTTATTTATTTATTTTTATGTGGTGCTGAGGATCGAACCCAGTGCCTCGCGCACATGCTAGGCGAGTGTTCTACTGCTGAGTAACAACCCCAGCCCCAAGCCCTATCTTCTTCTTCTTCTTCTTTTTAATTTTTTTTTTTTTGGTGGACACAATATCTTTATTTTACATTTATGTGGTGCTGAGGATCGAACCCAGTGCCTCATGCATGCTAGGTGAACACTCTACCACTGAGCCACAATCCCAGCCCCCCTATCTTCTTTTAATGAAGGTATTTAGAAAACCAAAATGACATTGATAGTTTTATGTTTCTAGGTCATGCTGTGGGCAAAGACATGTCAGTGTACTAAAGATAATAACAATTTTTTTTTCCTACAAGGACACATTTTGCGTTGTTTTATAATCATTTTACCAATTCATTAAAGGTGATTCTTTTTTTCAGAAAAAAAAAAAATGCATGCATTTCTTTAGTTAGTATGAGTGCAGATTACTATCTCTTTACACAGGTTTTGGCTCTAATTGTATTTTAGCGAGAGCCTAATTATTAGAAAGAGAAAAATCTAAAAAACTTTAGCCATTTTATTCATATGTTTAAAAAGTCACAACCCTGAAATCTTTCTGTACCTGAAAACACTGACAAATGCTTGGTTATTATTACTAGAGTAAAGTTTAATAAAAGCTAATTAAGCTACAAAACTCCCAAGTGGTTAACTGATTTTAGGGGCTAAATTTCTAGTACTTCTAATTATCCTCTGATGGCTTTACTTAGTGTTTCACAACCATGACAGATGACAATGAAAAACTGCAGTGAAATTCATCCATCCTGACACTGTGCTAAGCATCAGCTTCTCCCTCTCCAAGTAAAATCAATACTCTGTTTGAGTAAACACGTTTACAGCTTTATTAGGATGTCTTGCTTGTTCTGTAACAGCTACTTGAAGCTGTGGTAACAAATCGACTCAACTCAGTTAAACCTAGAGAGCTGGGTAAGAGGCCCATCGATAAGGTTGTTATAAAAATAAACTGCAGGAGATCAGAAAGCTGGAGCAAACAGTCTGGTAAATGTCAATATTTTCCCTTACAGAGGATGACAAAAACAGTGAGATAATGTGGGAAGTCCTTTTCCCCCCTGAAAAATGTTTCTGTTTCAATAGGATAAAAGCATTTCTACTTTTTGTGCACAGCTCTTCTGAATGAAATTTTCACTTCCTAATTCTCATGTGAACCCAAAATAATAAGTTAAAATAAATACTTGGCATTTTTCATGCCATTTCACATTCTTTATTTCCCTTAATATTTAGAGACATATTTTGGCCTTCACTAGCTTTATAAAATAGCCTTTTCCAAGTTATCACGAATATCTGTGATGGTTCAACCTTAACTTCTTTTCATTAAAGAAACAAAAGTTTTGTCATTCACATTTGGGAAGTCATTTCAATGGAATGTTCACTCCTGTACTAGTATCTATGAGACTGATATATTTTATATCTTTAAAATTAGGCCTTCCATGTTTTTGTATTTAACAAGAGCATGTTGTGCTGGATTTACATAGGCTGTACAACCTCTTGAGTAGTAGTGGTATGTATAAAATATCTGCTATCTATTAGGAGCAAGCCTCCATTGTGGGCACAGCTCTACCAAACAAGGACTCATTCTCGTTTAGATGTCCACAGGTTGCTCAAAGAAGTAACATCTGGCAGGAAATTCCCACTTCAATTTGGCTAGCTTAGACTATCCAGATGTGACAAAGTAATGGTTTTCCCTTGCTGAAAAGTGCTTGCATGTAAACTTTTTTTTTCTTTTACATTCTATGTAGTCTAGTTAGTAAATTTTGTTTTGTTTTGACTTCATAAATTGACTACCATTACCAACTAGTCATGAGCTCACATAACAACTTGTAACCCATGTTAGAAAACTCAGATCTTTTAGGGGAAAAAAAAATCGGCAAACATTAAATTTTGAAATAACTTAAAAAGCTAATGTGCCTGCCAGGGTAAGGTCTGTCGTAGCAGGTATTTGCATAATGAAAACCAAAGCTTAAATGGTATCAGATGGTGCAATGGCTGACTGGTATAGGAAGTCAATTCATAGCTAAAGTTCCTTCACAATAGGACAACACACACTCCTAACATAAAGTGCACAACTAAGAAACAATGCATGTAATATATAGGTTCAGGGGCATTGCTGCAGCTATGAGAAAAACTTTAGTGTCTTATAGATATATCTGTCAGGATAACTTATTTCCTCTTTGTGGTGGCTGAAACTGGAAACTTGTTTAGTGCTACTAACATAGCTCGGGACATTGTATTTGAATTTAAAACAAAACCCTTCCATCCAATTTAAAAATACTTATTGGGGCTGGGAATAAAGCTCAGTGATAGGAATGCTTGCCCAAGGCTGGGGTTCTATCCAGAGTACTGGGAGATGGGAACAAAGACTTATTGGGATGAGGTCATAGCTGTTGGAATAAGATGATACTATGCTATTTATGTGAGGCTGTACTTATGCCCTTACTCATAAGCAAGAAAACTAATTTTGTTACTATTTGACTCAATTATTAAAAATCCTGTATTTGACAATTTCTCATAGGATGATTCTAAAATTTTAAAAGTTTTTGATGAAGAAAACATTTAAATTTTGTTTGCCTCACGCATGCCAGGCAAGTACTCAACCACTAAGCTACAACCCCAGCCGCAATGATGATGGAAACATTTTAGCTTGCCATTTATTTCATGAGCTAGAAATAAAACATATATATCTGAACTCCATAAAATGTCAATATTAACGGGATAATTAAATGAAAAATATGTTAAGCACCTGTGTTTATAGCCTAGATTGAGTAACTCACATCCAAAGTGAGAGAAGCTGTTACTTTAGTAATCGTATTGCAATTTTTTTGTTTTATTCAGATCTTTTCTGATATTACATAGTTTTATAATATCAAAGATTATATTTCATGCAAATCACCATATAGATTGAAATATTCTGTCCAATGACTTACTAGCCATGGTCTTAAGGTTGGCTAGGTTTTGTATCAATGCAACCCACATGTGACTTTATTTACTTTAAATTACATTAATTACAAAGTCAACAAAGGGCATTGTAAAAATATTTAAACATCATTGAGATATGTTTTGATGTCACATGTCAAAAAGTGACCATTGCATTCTCCCACCTCCAAGTATACCCACAGTTAAGTGGTATGTTTCTCCATGGGACTTTTATATGCATTTATAAATATACATACAACCTATACACATAAGATCACTTAAAATAAAATATAAATGTCATCATATCATACTTATTATTCTGTGACTTTTTTACATTCACTTATGAAAAAAATCATCTAGAAGGTTTCTGTGAAGAAATAGGCTAATATTAGGTAAGCCCAAAATCTAACACTTGAATATCATCACTATTCTAATTTTTTTCCCTAAATTTTTATTTATTTCAGTTGTTGATGGACCTTTATGTTTTATTTATATGTGGTGCTGAGAATCAACCCAGTGCCTCACACATTTGAGGCAAGCACTCTACCACTGAGCCACAACCCCAGCCCCCATCACTATTCTATTTTAGGACCACAAAAACCTGGCCAAATAATTTTGTAGAATTAACAACTAAATATAGTTGATAGATAGGTCTTAGCCTTTTGGATTTTTATAGAACACTGAAATTTTCCCCAAAAGATTTTAGGGATAAACTTAAGTTTGTCAAACTTTAATTATGCTAGGTAAGAATATTTAAAAACTTTCATTATTTCTAATATTATTAACAAATGAGAATAATTTAACTCCCCCAAAGTAGAAAGGACAAGATTTAAGGATGAATACATTCAATTTTATGAGAGCTTACTAAATTACCTCTACCTTCATTCATATTGACAC